ACTCTTATCAGTCCCTTATGTCTGATCTATTAAGAGGTAAGATCATTCAGATTGTTTGCTTTTTCATTTTTTTTAAAAACACTTATGTCTTATTGTTCTCTTATTTGTTTATTCAGTTTAACACTTATGTTTATTTGCAGTTAATTACACGAATTCAGATATGAAGCTTTAATAAGTTGTACTTACGCACAATCTACTTGCAATCTTGAATTTTAAGTAATATGCATTAACAAACAGTACTTTACACATAAAAAATGGTTTTTAAAAGTTTTTGTCAAATGTTTTATAATATAATATATATGTATACATATATATATTATATATATATATATATATTATAAAATTGTTAAAAGAAAGTCAAATATAATTTATTAGTTTTCACTTTTCTATATTAACTTTATTTTGTTAATATCGAAAACGATAATTAAAAATTGGAGACCGAATAATACTTGAGAAATTTTGAGGATATTGTTAGATGCGGGGAAATTTTATAAAATCCTTTTGGTTTTAAAGAATGTTAGATATATGAAAATTTTGGGTTCATTTGTGAGTATTCTCGATCCTTAATGTTTTTCTCCATTTTTCCTAAGTAGAGGTGGTGTCATCTACATATATAAATTTGATATATTTTTTAAAATGGTAAAGATATTTTTAAATTATTAATTTATGATTTTGATTAATTTAATTTTTATATATAGGTATTTGAAAATAAGTTAAACATAATAATATAATAAGATGATTAAAAATTAAACTTATTAAAAAAAATGTAAAAACTTCGAAAAAGAATAAAACAAAATTAATAAATACATTTAATAATAATTAATTAGAAAAATTATATCAATTTTAACTTATATATTATGTATGTTTATTAAAACAAAATAAAATAGTTACAAAACAATAAAAAGAAAAATACAATGGAAACAAAAAATGTGAGAAGAACTCAGGTTCTTGTTCAAGCATCTAAGTTCTTATTATTAACATGAACTTTTATTGTAAATGCTCTTCGTGTTTAAGTTCATCGTTCATGCAAAAATATACACACATACATATACGTAGAGAAAAATAATATCACAATTTCTAAATAGAATAAGAAAGAAAATGATAAAACAACAAAAATCCTCGTAAATTAATCGACTTAACAAAATTTATTTAACAAGTCAAAACAATAGATTTAAGATGTTACAAAATATGCATTGCAAAACTAAAATCTGTAATTATTTTTTAAAAAATGAATTAAAACATTGTAACGTGTAACCCACATAGAAGTAATTTACTCTATACAAAAATCTAAAGAGTCCGATTCATGCCATTAAAATTTGTTAGAAAAGGTCTGTGAAGTTAAGGATATTTTTGTCCTTTTACTTTTTTATTTTATTTTTTCTTTATAAAACTAAGGGGCCGTTTACCAAACACTTACTTGGGTAAGTGCTTACCAAGTAACATTATCTTACCGGATGAATATGACAAGGACCAAGAATCTTATCCGGTAAGAGCGAGACAAGAACCAATAGTCTTACCCGGTAAGTGAGGGCGATGACTCTTACAATGGTAAGCGCTTACCGGGTAATTTGTTGCATACGATGTCGTTTTGATGGACTAAAATCTTATCCGGTAAGTAAATATTAGTGTTAAATTTTACTGGTAATTACTTACCGGATAAGTGTTTGGTAAACGGCCCCTAAAACTATCCAATAATGACATTCCCAATAACATATCCCAATCGAGGACTCTTCTCCGGCCAAAACACTTCTCATGTTCTTCGATTACGCCATTTTAAGTGACATAAGAGTATCTCTAATAGATTTTTTTAAATGAAAATCAAAAGTCAAAATTTTAAAAAAATTATATTTGTCTCAAATAGCTTCACCATTTTGGAGATTTAAATATGAATTATATCATTAAATACATATTTTATAAAATATTATTTATCTCTCTTATACATTTAGTTTCAAATATTCTCGTTGATTGGTATGAAGAATAAAAAGTAATTTCTCCATTAAAGTTCTCAAATTTAAAAAATTTCACCCTTTCTTGTACTTTCTCCGTTTCGAAAAATTTGTTGGAACATTTCTTTTTCAAAAATCTTCATTTTTTTAGAATTTGTTGAAAATATGGAAATTCTTTAAACTTGAAATCTCTCCAAAAATAAATTAATTTTTGTTTTAATTATTTCTATTAATAAAAATTCTTAAAATTAAATATTTAGAAAAAAAATAGTCATTTATTAATTATCTTAAATATTTTAATAAAATAATTAATAATACAACCTTTAAAATAAAGAAAAACAATAATTTACTAATTATAGTAAATATTTTAACATCTAAAACCAAAAAACTTGGAGATGAAATTAAATTTTGTATGAAAATATTGACTTCTCGTTGTATAAATTGAATCAGACTCGGTGGAGACATCCTCATCCTTCCCTAAACCCACCACCATTTTTTAACTCACCCCCAAATGCGACTCCATTCTTCTCCAAACCCTCATTTCCAACCTCTTAAGACGACGATGGTAGAGAGGCCTTTCGACAATCGAGTTGTGATCGATGATAAATGGATGAATGCCAGTTTTGAACTGGAAGCTTTGATTGATGGTGACGGCGGCGTTTCCTACTATCCAAAGCCCGGTCTGCTCCACATTCTTCTTAATCGATTGGTTCGTCTTCCTCATTTCTCATACAATTCCTCTTTCCACTTTTGTTCAAAATCGGCTGTAAAAACGATGAACAATTGCATTGAAATTAGGTTATATTTGAAATGAATTGAGTTCTCTATTGATGAATAAACTTGTAATTATTGTTTGATTTCAGAGTAAATGGTGCATTGCTGCAACTTATGGAGTTATTGTGTTGAGGCATGATAATGTAGCAGTAGCAGTGTGGGCTGTTCTTGGTTCTGTTTTAAATATCGCGTTATCGTTGGCTCTAAAGCAGATTATATACCAGGATCGGCCGGATCCTGAAGTGAGTTCCGGCCCCGGAATGCCATCTTCCCATGCCCAATCGATTTCATTTGCAGTCGTATACATCATTCTTTCAAGTAATCCGCTTTCTCAAAACTTTCTGTTTTCAATATATTTGGTTCCTGATTGTAGAATTGTATGTTTCAGTTGTTAGATGGCTGGGATTGAATGCATTTTCTGCTTTTCTTAATGGGCTTGTTATAGTCGTTGGTGTATATTTTGTAAGTACGCATGCCTCCTTATTTCTTGCCATCAGCACCACTACGACAGAATTCAGACACTAAGGGGGTGTTTGGGAAAGCTTATTTAAGGTGCTTATCAACTTATTTCAGTCCACAACCGTCGATAAATTATTTTGAGTGTTTGGATGTGAAAAAAAAAAACTGCTTATACCGGTGCCAAACCGGTAATAAGTTGTTTTTGATAAGTTACTCCCTCTTGACTTATTTGACATATTACCCTTTTAACCCTCTCATCGCATCCGTCTCTCCTCTCATCGCATCCGTCTCTCCCCTCTCATCGCCGG